TCAACTCCCAGAATTCCTCAGCCAGGCACAGCAATAGGAAGTCTAAAGCAGGGGTCTCCAACCTTGGCCCCTTTAAGACTTGTAGACTTCAACTCCCAGAATTCCTCAGCCAGGCACAGCAACAGGAAGTCTAAAGCAGGGGTCTCCAACCTTGGCCCCTTTAAGACTTGTAGACTTCAACTCCCAGAATTCCTCAGCCAGCTTTTCCAGGTTGGTGACCCCTGCGCTGGACGGAGAGAGTGACCGCCCAAAGGCTTTCCACAGTGGGCAGTTGATAAAAGAGTCCTGGGGAGCTCCTCATCCTGCCTGGATGTCCAGGGCCAGCACATGCAGTGTCAGTCAAGACGAACGAGGCCCCGGCATGGACACGGCTCCCAGGCAAAGGGGTCCCACTGACCTGAGCAGGGTCTCCGAGACGCAGCAGTCCTCGTGGGGCACGCAATAGCCCACCTCGTGGCCCACATTGAGGTCCATCTCGTCTGCCACGCGCAAGGCCAGGCTGAGGGCTGCCAAACTATGAGGCTGGGTGCAGACCACTCGGCCGTGGGCGAACTGCACCGAGAGGGCTTGCTCTGCGCACCACTGGGGCACCTGGGAAGAGAGAGGAGGGGGGTCAGGGCACAAGCCAGCCTCCCACCCCCCCAGCTGATCAGCTACAAGCCTAACCCTAACCAATAGGTCCTGCATTTTGAGCCGTTTCTACTCAGGGGATCCACTAATGCAGGGATTGCCAACCAGTGGGCTGGGGACCACTGGTGGTCCGCGAGAAAATTTTGATGGTCCACAGAGAAATGTCCCACCCCCAAAGCAATTAATCCAGGCTGCACAGGAACACAAGGCTTGCATCGGTTGCATTGCGAACAACACGAGGGGAGGAGGGAAAGGGCTGTGGGGGGGGAAACTTGCCCCACTCATCCCACGTGCCTCGCTTGACCACTGGGCTGCTTCTTTCTTCTGCCTTTGGCTGCATGCAAGGAAAGCAGCAAAAGTCTTCCTTTCTCTCCCCCAAACTCTGCCAGAACTGAGTCTTTGGGACCCTGCAAGGCCTCCTGCTCCAAGAGGCTGCTCTGGCACAACAAGTCTCACAAAGACTCCTTTCTGGCGGACTTTGGGGGAGAGAAAGAAAGACTTCTGCGGCTTCTGCTGCTTTCTTTGCATGAAGTCAAAAGTCTCTCTCTCTCCCCCTGAGAACAGAGCTGGAGACAGTATCCTGCGATCCCAAATAAAGAAGGGATCATCGATTGGTAGGAAAACGGGGGTGGGGAACTCTCCTGCAGACTTTTTGGGGGATTTCCCCAGGGTCTCTGGACCGGGGTATTTAAAATGATGAGTTTGGTGGTCCCTGAGGTCCAAAAGGTTGGCCTGCACAAATGCGCAAAGTCCATCCTTAGCTCAGTTCCACACACCCTCACAAACTCTTAAAGAAAGGCAGCTGAGAAGCTGCACAGACCAGCTACAAAACTCTGCCCGGCCTCCTGCCTCGCCTTCAGGCCCCTCCAAGGCTCTCCTCCCAGGCAGCGGCCGGGCCCCGGTCTGGGTGATTCCACCTCAAAGGTCACCCCACGGCGGGGCTCCACACCCCGGACCTGGGAAGTCCGTGGCGACGGGCCGCCCAGACTCCGGAGCCACGTCACCCGGCACGGGCTGGGCCAAGACTTGGCCGGCAAGGCGGCTCGGAGACTACCGACTCCCGTTTTCACTCCGGTCTCCGCCCGCCTCGTCTTCGCCCAGCCAGGGTAGGGAAGGAAGGCCCCGCCCGGGCAAAGGTCCCATCGAAGCGCCTCGCCCAGCCGGCCCTCACCGTCCCGGCCTGCCCGACGGGGAATTGCCACCCACTGGATACCCCCGCGCCCCCCGCCGGCCACGCTGACCTGGGTGCTCTTGCCGGTGCCCGGCTCGCCCGAGACCAGGACGAGGCCGGCGCTGCTCTCCAGTTGCTCCAGGAAGGCGAAACGGGCGGCCCAGATGGGGAGGCGGCGGCGGCGGCTCAGCAGCTCGTAGTAGCGGGAGGAGAAGGGCAGCCCGTCGAAAGGGTTCACCTCCAGGTCGCCGCCGCCCGCCGCTTCCTCCGCCTCGTCCTGCAGCAGCAGCGCCGCCGCCATGGTAGCGCGGCCGAGGCCTGGCTCCCGGGATCCTGCGCGAGGGGGCGGCGGGCTGCTGCTGCTGCTGCTGCTGGAGGCCGGCCCGGCCCCTTCCCCAACCCGGCAGCGGCGGCTTCCTGCGCTCCCGGCCCGGGCTGGCCCGCCTCCACCTGCCGCGGGCTCGGGCGGGCGGGCAGGAGGGGGGGGGTCTCTCGCGCAGCTTCACCTCGCGCCTCCGGAAGGCTGCGGAGGGGGGAGGGGCCTAGGGCGTCACGCCACGCCCCTTCGCGTCACGCACACCTGGCCGGGTGGCGGTGGCCGAAGCCTGTCGGATGCGCGAGGCCGGCCGGGCGGCCAACGCTGCAAACGGGCTTGGGGGTGGGGTGGGGTGGGGGGCGGGCAGCGAAGGCGGGGCTGTCCGCTCTGCGTGGTTCATCGCCGCCGGCCGCACACCTGCCGGGTGAGGAAACAGGCGGCGGATTAGCCAAAAGCAAGCCGGAAGAAAGCTTTTTAGCTTGGCCAACCCGGCGCTCACCTTTTGCAAAGCTCCGTCCGAGGCAGGTGTGGCGGAGGAGGATGGACGCGCTTTGTAGTCGGCCCACACATTCACTCTCCAAGCGCTGAGGACACGCGTGAAAGGGAGACCAATGTAGTTGCTCTAAACCAGAGGTTCACAAACTGGGCCACTTGAAGACTTAGGGATTTCAAACCAAATACCCTATAATATTGATATAAGAGTAAAAACGATACATTGTAATAATATGTTATATTGGATGATGATGGAATGAATGGCGTCATGAACTAGGCATTGTAAAAACAGAGACTTGCTCAAAAAGAATGCTATGAATTTATAACTAAAGTCTAATATTGGTTTGATAACAATATGACATTGATAGTTGACCTATATAATATGAATGTTAATTTAAGGTTAGGAGGGAAAGACTGTTAATATTGTGCACAAGAGTTATGTGCCAACTGACACACTGTACAAGGAAAGATAGTTTTGGGTTTATGTTTGTGTTTATCTATGTTGTTAAAATAAAATAAAAAAAATTCAAACAAAAAAGACTTATGGATTTCAACTCCCATAATTCTCCAGCCAGAATTAAAGTCCACAAGTCTTAAAGTTGCCAAGTTTGGGGACCTCTGCTCTAAACTTTTGTGGTTTGCAGCTGCTGATGGGTAACCTCCCCCTCCCCCCCAAAAAAGATCCTTTGGATCACAGCCTTAGCTTCCTAGAGACAGCATCTGAAGCTCATCCCCTTCTTAAGAGGGACCCGGATGCAAGTGCCTCAGGAGAACCAGGCTGGGCTTTGTGGGAAGAGCCCTTCCCTGCCCTTCCCATGCTGGAGTCAGTTCTGACCTTCTGGACCCAGAACACTCTCTGGGCCCACTTTCAGTTGGCCGGCTGGTCTCACAGGAGGGAAGATGAGAGCCTTTTCTGTGGTCATTGTAAGGCAGGGATCGTCACGCTCGACAGCTTTAAGACTTGTGGACTTCCACTCCCAGAATTCCTCCTCCAGTCATGTTAGCTCAGGAATTCTGGGAGTTGAAGTCCACAAGTTTTAAACTTGCCAAGTTTGAAGACCCTTGGTATAGACCCTATTCCATTCTGGCTGTCCAATTTCTTCATAAAAATCTTTAGTGATGGAGCACTCACAGCTGCCAGTGGCAGACCATTCAACTGATAGATTAATCTTCCTGTCAGGAAATTCTTCAGCTCTGAAGAAGAAGAGGAGGAGGAGGAGAGCGGAAGAAACTTTTGGGATGAGAAGTGCAAAACATCAGCCAAGAAAAAAAAGAAAAGAAAATCCAGCTGCCTCGAAAAAGCACCTCTGGGACAACCATGGCCTGGGTGGCTGAGAAGCTCCATAGCAGGGGCCTTCAAACTTGACAGCTTTAAGATTTGCGGACTTCCACTCCCAGAATTCTTCCTCCAGTCATGTTAGCTCAGGAATTCTGGGAGTTGAAGTCCACAAGTCTTAAAGTTGCCAAGGTTGGAGACCCCTGGCCTAGTTAGCCTCCTGCACCATAGCAGTTGAGGGAGGGGCATTTTTGCCCTCTCCCGGCCCTGGAGGCTTTCCTCGAGCCTCCAAGAGAGTGAAAACGGCCTCCCTGGGCTCCGGAGGCTCTCTGGAAGCCGGAAACAGGCCCATTTCCTGCCTTCCTGAATTCTGGGAGGCCCGTTTTTAATCCCTCCCCAAGCCTCTCCACATGCCCTGCATCCCAAACCGGCCGCATCGGGACTTCTGGGAGGGGAGGGGTGGGTGAGGCCAGCCAGGAGTGGGATTTGGGGGGTCCTCTGAACTACACAGAATCTTAGGTAGGGGCTCTCCTGAACCCCTGCGAACCCCCAGCAGCCCAGCCCTGGCTCTGCCTAAGCAAGTTCCATCCGTTCGATGCTTGTCACTTAAACTTCCCGCCTGGAGTGATGAGGGGCCCTTGGCCACTGGAAAACAGAAAGAACCCCGAGGTCTGGTGACACCAGGTGTCCTTTCCCTCAGTGAAGGGCACAATTCGGCTGGGCAATACTCTCTCCAGGTAGAGCCAGTTGAACAGTTGCACCTGGTGGACATCCAGCCATGGTTCCAGAGCAAGTGGGGGAGGGGGGGGAGGTTGCCATGGGGAAATGTGGGACCCTGAGTTGCTCAAGCCGTTCTGAGGTCTTGCCACGCCCACCAAGCCACGCCCACCTACCGACTCCATGGGTGACTCAGATGCAGAGGGGGTATTCAGCAGGGTCAGTAGTGGGGAACTGTTGACCATTAGCCCTGGAGGGGCACTGAACCCGTTGGGATAACTGAGGCACCTGTGGATGTCCTGGTAGCCTCATTGGAAGGCGGAGCCAACAGGGCAACCAGCCAAGGAGCCTGTCCCCCTGCAAGTACACACACACACAGACACACAGACACACACACCCCTTGCATTCCGGCACCTCAAATCCTCCCATTTTGTCTGCATGGGAGATTTCAGTGGCTTTCATCCAGGCCATGAGAAAGGGAGCGTTCCTTTCAGAGGTGGCATTCAGCAGATTCAGGCCATTTATGGAGAACCGGAAGTGGAAATTTTGAGTATTTTGGAGAACCAGCAAATCCCACTTCTGACTGGCCCCGCCAACCCCATCCCTGCCTCCCATTGAGTCCCAGAGGATCGGCTGGGTCTCCTTTGGTTGCCCTCCACAGGAGAAGGGAGCTGGAAAGCAGGTTAGTGGAGTGGGGAGAGAAGGGGGATTTTGCGGCATATCCTTCCCCTGCCACGCCCACCAAGCCACCCCACCCCATCAAGCCACACCCACAGAACCGGTAGTAATTTTTTTTTTTTTGAATCCCACCACTGCTCAGATGGGAGAGGAAAGGGGAAGTATCACGACTCAGCAGTGGGCCGAAGCCACCAAGAAGACGGTTAAAAGGGACAAAGGTAAACATCTGAGTACAAGCCATTCAAGGCAGGGGCTGGTGGGAAGCACCGGGCAAGCGGTAGCAGGAGATGGGTGGGTGAAAACAGCCTGTTTCAACTGCAACACGGGAGCCCAAAGGCCAGATGTTTGCCGTGTAGTTCGCCAGATGCTGAGATCAAGACCGGCCCCCTTTTCCTGTTCTGTGTTGGCCAGACCGCAGCTAAAATGCTGTGACTGGTTCAGTTTTGGGAAAGACAGCTGGATAACGCCTGCGCCATCTTCACCCAGACAAGGCCTCCAGCCAGGGCGAAATTTCCTTTCCTGCAAAAAGTGGCTGGGGCGAAGCGTTTTGCTCCTGGGGTGAAGGACTCTTGATGTCCACTGCTCTGGAGGGGCTGTCCATACCTCAGGCACGTGCTCCGTTTCCTGGGCTACTGGCTCAGAGGTTACTCACTGGGAAAATGGCAACATCCTGAACATCAGGGATTCTGACCCTCAGGGGCAACTTGGAAGGTCTTTAAAATGTCAGACGTAAGAAGAGAAAATATCCAAGAGGGAATTGGGGAGACAAATTTCCTTTATTTTAAATACTTAGCGGGATACCTATGTGGTCGGGCTTAGGAAAATAAGGGTGGGGGGAGGCAGAATTCTGCCTCTGCCTACCAGCATCCATAGGTATTTATCTGGCTAGCATCCTGTCAGTGTGTGAGTTGAGGGCGGTTTGGAAACTGAAACAGTATTTACTGTGTGAGCAAGGAGACAGCAAGGAGACTGGGTGTGGCTTAGCTTAACTGTTCTGGACTAAAGCTGCTTGGTGCTCTGAACCTGAAATTCTTCCCCTCTGCTTGTGTTTTGCATTTGGAACAGATTTCTTTTCAGGTGGGGAGGGGGAGTAGAATTCCTTAGCATCAGAGCGTGTTAATAACAATATATAGGAAATACTAATGCTCTGGTGGTCATTTCAAAAAATCCTTTCTTAGCGAGCATCTCGAAGCCAAGAGAAACATACGTGCCAAATGTCAAGTTTGTGGACTTTACAGTTCTGGAGATTTTGTGATGATGCGTGAGTGGTTGTTTCGCTTTTATGTATATGGATTGGGCCAACCTGGGAGCAGAGATACGAAAGCGGAATGCAGCCTGTACAACCCGATCCCCTCTGTTTTTCTGTGAAGCATAAAAGACCCCCTCCAGAGCATTCAGGGAAGAGCCATTGAAAGAGGGAGTGTTCCTACTGATGTTCTCCCATCACCTGGATAGATCTGTGCTTCCTTTTTAGTTGCAAAACATTTGCATTTTAATCTTTTAAAAACGCTTTTATTTTGCTTAATAAAATTTTTAATAAATCTTGGCTCTTGACGAATGTTATCTTTTCTTTTATGTATACTGACAGTATTTGCACCAAGACAAATTCCTTGTGTGTCCAATCACGCTTGGCTAATAAAAGAATTCTAAGTCTAATGAATTTACTTCACTTTTGAGAGGTGTTCTTTTTTCCCAAGGAGAGACGGCTAGAAGAAATATTTTTCTTTAGTCACAGCCATAAAGTGGCACTACTTTATTTGCAATTATATTTTTTACTGCTAGAAAAGCTGGCTGGCTGTATCTTTGGGACGCAATGAGGAAGGGGGAAACATTTAAGTGAGGTGACCTGGAAAAGGTGGGGTGTTAGTGGTCCTTTCAGAGTCGTGAAACCCAAGCAGGGTGTAAGAGAGATCCAAGCCCTCCAAGTTATTGGAGAGTGCTGAATTTTTTGTTTCCAGATTAGTTTGCATCCGGTACCCTCCTACTCAGTCCTTGAATCTAGCTCAGAAGAAGCATACACGCTACTCAGTTCAGCTAGCAAAAACCATTGCTTGGCATTTATTCATCGTTCATCAGAAAGTTAATGGCAGAAATGACACAAAAGGCAAGCAGAACCGGGTGGGGACGGACAGACACACAACTCAAGGACATCAACCAGAAGCAGCAATTTACTACTTCCATCTCAAAAGCCTCAGAATGCCCCACGGTGAGTGGGAAAGTCCTCCCTCTTTCTCTCCCCCGTTTCTGATGGGAAGGGAATCTCCCATTTCTGTGAAAACACGCAGAGGGGATTGCCAAACGGTCCTCAGAATTCCCTGGACAACGGATCACAAGCTCCCTTAGCTTTTAAAACGCAAACATTTCTCCAGTCTCCTCTTAGTTTTGCATTTATCACCATCCTCACCTGAGCCATTGGAAAGGAGCACAGCTTAAGGGGGAAGCTAAAAAGGATCCTTCCAGAAATGGCTTTGTACCCAGAACGCTGCTTGGGTCTGCACTGGATGTTGAGCTGCTAACCAGTCAACCTAGTTTGTAACGTGACCCCAGTTGGGGCCACTAAGAGGGGTTCCAAGGTGCCCCACAACCCTCGAAATCTGAGTCAAGGGATCTCTAGATAAGGTTGCCATGCAAACACAGCCGATAAGTTAGGAACTGGTTACCAACTGCTGAGAAATCAGACTTAACTAACACAGCCAGTAGCTCCAGCCCACGGGGCTGCTGGCAAGCCAAGGTAGCGACCCCTCTGAGCATAGATATGGCCAGGCAACCCGTCTGCAGAGCAACCACAACTACTCCAGCTGTGTGTGTGGGTTCACACAACGCTGAGCCACAAACTGGCCAACCATGGCAAACTCCAGTAAACGATACAGCCTAGATAAAACCATTAAACAGTGTAGTAAGTGCTCATTTCGTGGAAAGTATAACCATCGGAAGACGGGTAACAAAATTCAACAATCAGTACAAAAAACCCCTTTTTTGTGGGTTGGCAACAATAAAGTATCTTCCAGAAGCATCTCTCAGAACATCCGAGCCAATTTCCTGGCTCCTAAAAATTCAAAAGAGTTGGTCTGGACACTTGGAAGATGCTCAGACGCTTCTCAGGAGGCCCTTCGGTGAAGCAGCCCAGGAAGAGCAGGGAACACGGAAGGGCCTTCATACCATCAGTTCCCCACCGCCCTCCCTACCACTGATGTAAAAATCAACCACTTGCACTGGAATCTTCCCTCTGACAGAACAGTACGAGAAGTCCAGGTGGTCAAGCTGGGAGTTACCTGCAGCAGCCGGAAACTTCCAAAGAGAACGTGACTTTTCCAGGGGTTTCTCTCTCTCTCATACCAAAACAAGCAGCACCTGACCCAAGTGGATGAGCATTAAGAGTCGTGTTTATTTTCATAAAGACCCCTCCCCCCCCCAAGCTGGGCAGAGACTCTGGGAACGCGGGAACGCTGGGCCGCCTGTGCTTGGCTGCAGCCTCCCCACCTGCAGAGGCAGCCCATGGATGGCACACACAATACTTCTCAAGAGCCACCGCCTTGGTCGCCCCAGGACAGCAGTGATTCCCTGCAAAGATCATTGTCTACCGAGCCACAAGTTCAGGCTAAGGAGCTGGTCAGCAGCTGCCCTCCGCGTGGGCTATTCCATATTTCTCTGTGTATCTCCTGCGAAGAGAGAGAACAACTTCAGTACGAGGGCCCGCTTTCTGACGCCGCTCTCCCCAGGGCGCTTCCCCTTCCGGGTGCAACCCTCTGCCCACAGAAAAAGAGGGAGGGCCCCACCACCTTCTGGCGTAGTCCCAGAGCGCTTGCTTCCGTTCCTGGAGAGAGAGTTGTCTGGCTTCCGCAGATCTGGCAAAGAGCTTCCCCGATGCCTAAGGAAAACAGAGACTCCTTTTAGGAACCTGCCCAAACACGCTTCTTCCGGACAAGACACTCGCACAGCCTTCTGGACCTGAATGCAAGTACCGGGGCTATTCGGGAGGTGGTAGGATCCTGAGCACCGTAGAAGGAGGGAGCTGCAGCCACAAAGCCTTCGGTCTCTGCCTCTGGTACGAAGGGAACCCGCCCCTCCAAAAGATTGGCAATTGTGGTGTCCACGCAGTTAGTCTGAGCTGAGAGGAGAGAGAAACGAGGAGCTCTCTTTAGTGAAGGCAAGCACCAACTCAAGGTCCTTTCCCACAACCACACAATCCCTCGTGGCTGAGGCTCCCTTCCCATAGGCATCTCGGCCGCACTGACGCTTTACATGTGCTTTACGCCTTTTAAGGACGAGGCATGCATGCTTAAAGAACTCAAACGACAACGACGCACAGAGAAAATGATTGTCCACGTTTCTGAAACACCCAACATGAAAAAGGGCAGGAAAAAAAAAACCCCGATGTTGTTGATCACTGGGAAAGCTTTAACTCCCAAAGGCACCTGGGAAATGTGCTTGCCGTTTGTTCTTCCTATAAGCGTTACCCCATGATGGATGCCCGCTCATCCCAGGAAACCCTGCTCGGGGCTTGACCAAGTGCCAGGAAATCTGCCAAAGGTCCCCTCTGTGCTGCAAAAGGCTGCCTGCCATTCCCAGGTTCCCAAGCCGCAACCTTTCCCTTCCCCTTAGGCCGCAGGGACTGTCTTGGTTAAAGGGCACAGCCCTACAGCTGGGTCCTCCTGCTGTGGCTGCTTCTCACTCCTCACCTAGGTCTTTGCGGATAGCTGACATGGGCACCTGGGGTAGAACTTCTCGGACACGCTGGGCCAGGCCTATCAAGTGTACGTTCTCCGTGGAGGGCATGCTGCGCGAGATTTGGGGCCGACTCCCGGAGGGTTGGCTTGAAGCTGCAAAGAGAGGAAGGAGTGAGGCTGTTTCCTGCAGGCCCCCCCGCCCCCCCCCGCCTCTGCAGCATAGCCTTTTCTCCCAGTCATGCTGAACCTGGTACCCCCTCCTTGGCGGATCCTGCCCAGCTGCCTCCCAACCAAGTGGGATTAAAGATTTGGTGAGAACTTCCAACCGCTGTCCAACACACACGCTCCAAAGGGTAAGATGCAGAGACTCACGTGGGGGAGGACGGGAAGCTGGAGGGTGGTGGCGGAGACGCTTCAGGTGCTCTGCTTTGTCAGCGGCTGTGAGGCATGTAGACACCACGCCTAACTCCAGAGCTAGAAGCTACAAAGAGCAGAGAGACAAGCTGAGACGTCCTGATCTTCGGAGCACTTCCCCCCTAACCTCCTCCCCGGCTGCCTCTTTCCTACCTCTTGAACTCGCAGGGCAAACTCTTCCTGGGTCTCCTCGGCTTCTCTGTACACAGAGGGAAGCCACCTTGAGGAGAAAGCGAGAAGCCCTCAGGATCTCAGCCCCAGACCGCAAATTCCTTGCTGTCCTTCAGGCTAATGGACTCCCGAGCCTGGATCCAAAAGTGATCCGTTAGCCCTCACACCCCACAAAAATTAGAGAGCTTTAGTACCTTACTTGATAAACGGTGAAAGGAACGAAGAAAGTCCAGAGCAGCTCAGTGAACCAGGAAGCGCCAGCCACGCTCTGGGAGGGAAGGGAAAAACAACCGGGGCTGTCAAAGAGCCACAGCCAGGTGGCCCCAGGCCTCTTCCGGGCCCCAGACTCACCACAGCCACGAAGGGCCTCCAGACCTGCAGAGCCAATGGCTGCACCGCGTCCACGATGGAGAAGGGCCAGGAGCTGCAAAATAATAATTTAAAAAAGGGCCGAGGGTCGGTTAGGGAGCGCCAAGCGGTGCAGCCCCCGGCTCCCCCCAGCCCCCTCCGGGCCAACCTGAAACGCAGCAGGCCCACCCGGCCGTTGGTGGTCTCCTCCTCGGGGAAGAGCAGCAGCGGCGGATTGCCGCCCTGCAAGCAGTAGCCCTTCAGCGACTCCAGCAGCTCCGCGCGGCTCTCGGCGCCGGCCACCTCCAGGAAGCCGCGGGACCAGCAGAGGAAGCCGGCGGCGCCGTTCAGCACGGGCTGCGGGGAGGAGACGGGCGCGGGGCGGTCAAGGCTGCGGGGACAGCCCCCCCCTCTTCCCCAGCCCAGCCCGGGACCCCGCTCACCGCGCTGCAGGAGGCCAGCAGGCCCAGGACGTTGTGGTCGAAGGGCGTGACGTGGTTGGCCACCAGGACGCGGGCGCGGACGCGGCGCGGCCGGCTCTGCCACACGAAGAGGCCCAGCACGGAGCACATGGCGCGCACCAGGAACCTGCGGGACGGAGCAGTCGAGAGCCCAGGAGCGGCGCGGGTCCCCCCCCCCACCACCACCCCGCCGCCACCCGCGCTCTCTCCCCCGCCCGACAAGACCCCCGGGTCCCCGCTCACCTGCGCGGGGCGCCGTCCGGGAGCGCACAGCTGACCAGGAAGACGTGCAGCCCCACGAAGAGCCGCACCAGCAGCAGGCACAGCCCCACCGGCGCATAGAGCAGCAGCGCCAGCAGCACCGGCAGCGGCCCGTCGCTCGGCAGCCTGCGGAAAGAGGCGCGCGGAGAATGGCAGGAGAGCCCCGGCGGCCGGCAGACCTTCCCCACCCTCCCTCCCTCCTCCCCCGCGGAGCCTCGCTCAGGCCTCACCGGTGGGAGTCGAAGAGGCGCTCGGGGCTGGCGGCGGCGGCGGCCGGGACGGGAGGCGGCTCCATGCCTCCCCGGGGGCGCCTGGCCGGCCTTCACGGGCGAGCCGCAGGCGCGGCGGCCATCTTAGGCGCCTGGAGGGCAGGCGGAAGAAGCGCCGCCGCACGGCCCCGCCTCTTCCGGTGCCGCTAGAAGGGGGGGGCGGGGGGACCGTAACTACAACTCCCGGCCTGCCCCGCGGCGAGCGATGGCGGCGAGGCTGACGGCTATAGCGACGGCCCTGCGGGGGATCCCCGGGCGGCGCGGGGCGGCTCTCGCGGCGGCCGCGGCGGCCCCCGAAAGCGGCTCTCGCGGACAGCGGCGCTCAGCTTTCCCGTCCCTGCGGTGGGCGGCGGCGGCGGCGGCGGGCGGGGCGGCGGCGGGGGTGGCGCTGGGGCTGCTGCTGAGCGGAGCGGGCGGCCAGGAGCGCCCGCTGCTGCCGGTCCTGAGCGCCGCCGTGCCGGCATCCCCGCCGGGCTCCCCGCGCAGCACCTACAACTTCATCGCGGACGTGGTGGAGCAGACGGCGCCGGCGCTGGTCTACATCGAGATCCTGGGCAGGTGGGCTTGCGGGGGGGGGCGCCTGGAGGAGGGGCGGTCCAGCGCGGGGGTGGAAGGACACGGGTCGGAGGGGGCGGGGGGCAACGTGGACTCATCACCCTTTTGTCCCCCCCGCCTTCACCGTCCACCCCCCGCAGGCACCCCTTCTCGGGCCGGGAGGTGCCCATCTCCAACGGGTCGGGCTTCGTGGTGTCGGCGGACGGGCTGGTGGTGACCAACGCGCACGTGGTGGCCAACCGGCGGCGGGTGCGGGTGCGGCTGGCCAGCGGGGAGCTGTACGACGCGGTGGTGCGGCAGGTGGACCAGGTGGCCGACATCGCCACCCTCAAGATCAGCCCCAAGGTGGCCCCACCCTGCCTCCCTCGGGGGGACGGGGCGGGAGGGAGGGAAGGTGGACGGGGATATCCAGGCGCTGAAGCCGCTCCTCCTCCTCCCCGCGTAGCACCCGCTGCCGACGCTGCGCCTGGGCCGCTCCTCCGAGGTGCGGCAGGGGGAATTCGTGGTGGCCATGGGCAGCCCCTTCGCCCTGCAGAACACCATCACTTCGGGCATCGTCAGCTCGGCCCAGCGTGGAGGCCGGGAGCTGGGCTTGGCCGCCTCCGACATGGAGTACATCCAGACGGACGCTGCCATCGACGTAAGCTTCCTGGGGAAGGGGATAAGTTGTGTGTGTTGTGTGTGTGTGTGTGTGTTTGGGGGGCTGCTCGGATGCCTGAAGGTGAGATGGGAGGCCTACAGCAGGGCTCCCCAAACTTGGCAACTTTTAAGACTTGTGGACTTCAACTCCCAGAATTCTCCAGCCAGCT